AGCCTTCAAGAAGCAGAAACGTCCTGAGTGCCATACTTCCACCTCAGGATTTCTCCTCAGTGACCACTCCACACACAGCATTCTGCTCCCCTGTCCTTGGAGGACTTTGGCAACCAAAGACCCCAGTGCAGTATGTAAAGCATAAGGAGGCACTGCCCAATGGAATCAGAGGGATCTAGGCCGGCCCCCTTCTTCCCCCCCCAATCTCTGGGTCGCCCAGGCCTCTGAGGAACATGGTTTGAAAAGCACTGGAATGCTAGACTAAGCTCACTTCCAGGTTGCATTCTGCTCTGGCTCCTGGGTTGGGGGAGGTCTTCCAGCCCCTAGTGTCCCCCAGCTTTGGGGAAGGAGGGGGACTGTCCCCCAGGAGACTTCAGATGTTTAGAGTCCCAACTGTGCCCCTTCCTGGCTGTGTGAGCTTGGGAAAGTTACTGAGCCCCTCTGAGCCTCCATTTCCCATCTCCAACATGGAAGTGATGGTAGTGTCTGTCTCAAAGGGTGTTTCGAGGACAAAGGGCCTGGCCCAGGTAAGGATGTGATCCTGCCAGGCTCTGTAGCACTTCCCAGCAGCCCTGGGGTTCCACTCAAAGAGGATCTGCACAGGACTTCCTAAAAACAGATGAATGTCACTGAGTTGTTCGCTTTAAGACAGTTACTTCTATGTTGTATGGATTTCACCTCGATAAATTATTGACAGAAACAACAACAAAACACTTCCAGATCACTTGAACACTGCCTTAAATATCTGACTGACGCTAATAAAGAGTAAACCTTAATCAGAAGACAGCCAAAATTTCCTGAATTTTGAAAATTTTTTGTTTCTATTTAAGTATTTTTTTTTTTTTGAGTAGGAGTCTCGCTCTGTTGCCCTGGTTGGAGTGCAGTGGCACGCTCACAGCCACTACAGCCTCAACCTGCTGGGCTCAGGCAATCCTGTCTCAGCCTTTCAAGTAGCTGAGACTACAGGCGTGCACCACCACGCCCAGCTAATTTTTTGATTTATTGTAGAGATGGGGTCTCGCCAAGTTGTCCGGACTGGTCTCAAGTAATATTAAAACAGGAAAAAACAAATAGGGACTGTCTTGACTTTAATGTCTGACTCTAGTCAGTTTCCCAGACAGAGCAGTGTTCTCAGGTGGTTGAATGTAAATGCCCAGATGCCAGTGGCCCTGGCTGCCCGGCACCCAAGGATGCCCGGCTCAGCCCCACAATCTCTTTCAATCCCTTATCCGCAAGGCAGGTGGTATTATCCCCATTTAATAGATGGGGAGACTGAGGCCAGGAAGACTAAAAGATTTGATGGTTGGCATGCCCCCTGGAGCCCGCCTTTCCTTTCTTCCAGGCTGTGAGTGCCTAGAAAGTTGCCCTGCCTGACTTGAAGCCATCTGTGATCCTTCCAGCCATCTGTCCATGCGTCCGCCTCTCCATAGAGCAGAGGCTTGACCCTGGAGCATTAATATAGAGTGAAGAGAAGACAAGAACATGGTCTGAAGACCTTCGTGACAAGACCTGGGAAACCACGGCCTGAGCCTCGACCTGAAGGTGGGAAGCGGGACCCAGACAACTGAACCCAGGGCACTGGCTGCTGTGCTCGTTTGTTTATTTTAGCAAACACGCACAGTTGCCTCCTGTGGGGCCAGTCCACTTCTGGCCAAACAGCAGTGAATAATGCGTGAAGAAGGTCCATTCAGGGAGTGACAGGAGGGGGGAGATGGGGGTGAGGGCTGCTCTGAGGAGGGGGTGTGTGTGATGATCTGGAACGGAGTGGCCAGCTTCCCTGAAATGTGATTCACACACCATTCAGCTCACCCCTTGGAAGTGTACCGGCAGTGGTTTCGATGTCGTCACAGGGTCATGCACTCATCACCACAGTCAGTTTTAGACTATTTTCCTCACCCCCTTGGCAGTCACCCCCATCCCTCCTTCCCAAATCCTAAGCAGCCACTAGTCACCTTTGTCTCTGGATTTCCTGTCCTGGGCTTTGATACGCAGAATTGTGCAGTGGGTGGCTTTCTGTGACTGGCTGGTCACCCAGCATGATGCCCTCAAGTTTCGTCTACGTTGTAGCCTGTGCCAAAAGTTCATCCCTTTTTGGCTGAATGATGGTCTGCTGTGTGGATCTACTGCATTTTCTTGTCCATTCATCTGCTGATGGACACTTGGGTGGTTCCACCTTTTGGCTCTGCCTTTAGTGCCGCTGTAAGCTTTCCTGGCTGAGATCCGTGTTGACATAATGCTTGAGTGTTTGTCGTGCGTGCACTCATTTGATCCCCAGGACTTTTCTCTGAGGAAGAAACCATTATGTTATTCTTTCCGTTGTGCAGGTGAGAACTTGGGTGATGAACTGGCAAGTGACTCACCCTGACAGCAAGTGCAAGATCATGTGGGGGTTGACCTCAGGCCACCTGGCCCCAGCCTCTGCTGTTGACCCCAAGCTCTACCCCTGCCCCCACTCCACCAGAGCTTGGCGAGTTTGAGATAATAAGAGGCCCAGGGTGACTGAGTCAGGGGGGAGCAAGAGGGCCAGAAGAGATGGAGAGACAGTCAAGAAGCCCCAGAGAGAAGTTTGGACTTTGGGTGAGAACAGGAAATCCTGGGACAATTGTTGATTCGGGTGAGAGATGTGATTCGTGCTTTTGAGAGGTGACCCCAGCTGCTGTGTGGAGAATGGCCGGCAGCAAGGGGTTCAAGAGGCATCAGGTGGTGGAACTGAGACCAGAGGAGTCCTTCAGGTGAGGGAAGGTGGGGGGGCTCTGGGAGAGCAGGATAGGCGGGAGATGACAGACTCCAAACAAACGTGACTGCTGCCTCGCCCATGCATCCCATGCTGCCGTGCACCCAGGCCCTTGGCTGAAGAGCTCCCGGGAGCCTCCTCCAACTTTGGAAAATGGGTGTAAAGGCTCTGGTGTAGTGTAAGGGAAGAAAAAGCTAAACCTGCCCCAGGGAGTTTGGGAAGTGGGGGAAAGGAAACAGCTGGGGGTTTTTGCAAGAAAAACATCCTAAGCAGAGCAAGAGATGAAATAAAGAGAATCAAACAGGCAGAGGGGTTAATGCTGGTGGGATCAGAGGAGAATTTGGAATTGGCAGCATAAGCATGGAAAAACCCCAGGTGGGCTATTTGTCAAGATCCGTTGAAATTCAGGATGTACTTACCCTTTTACCCAGCCATTTTGCTTCTAGAACTTTGTCTTGTAAGAATACTTGAACAAGCCGGGCTCAGTGGCTCAGCCTG